TAAAAGACTGTCGACTTACAACGTTATAATATTTATTTATACCGGCGGCTAGCTGAAGCCAATTGCTCGCTCTTTTGCCCGGCCAGATAAATGTGCACAAGAGGGTGTTCGGTATGCAACCTATGCGGCGAGAGATTAGCATAGAACTAACTTAGGCCACGACGGCCGATCAAAGCAAGAGCCGAAGCGGCAGGTGCATAGCGCCCTTTAACAGGGAGAGCGCAGCAGCACTGCCGAATTCTGGAGACAGCTGAAAAGCTAATAGATGCAGCTATAATTTAGACCTAATCACTTTAATTTCAGCTTATCGTCTGGGATATAGTAAGCTTTTAAATTCTGAAATGAAATAGCTTTTAAGAATGACAAAGTTCATTACAACCAGTTGTAAGATACTTAGTTCAAGTATTCAAAACTTTTTTAAAAAGTTCTGCCGTAGAAAAAAAAATCATAATTCTATAAAAATAATTAAAGCCCCATATCTATCAGAAAAAGTTAGTTTGGTTTCTTGGGAAAAACAGTTCGATTTAGTCGAGTAGTGTTATTATCCTAGTGTTAGCATTGTACAGTGGTTTTTTTTCCGTTTTTATACCCGTACTCAAAAAGAGTTAAGGGGTATATTGGATTTGTGGTAAAAGTGGATGCGTGTAACGCAGAGAAGGAAACTTTTCCGACCCCATAAAGTATATATATTCTTGATCAACATCAATAGCCAAGTCGATATAGCCATGTCTGTCTGTCTTCTTGCTGATCAAGAATATATATACTTTATGGGGTCGGAAAAGTTTCCTTCTCTGCGTTACACACATCCACTTTTACCACAAATCTAATATACCCCTTAACTCTTTTTTGAGTACGGGTATAATTAAAAAATTAAAAAATAACGAAATATGGGTCACAGAAATAGCACAATTTCAAAATGTTGCCAATAATTCATAGAAAATAAGCTCAAAAGCTAAAATTGTCTTACAAATTTAATATTTAGTTGAATATCCACGATTTTCAATAACGGCGTTACATCTACGTCCTATTCTTTCCACAAGCATCTGACATCTCTCCTTCGGAATGGAGTTCCAAGCTTCTTTGACACCTGTTCACAAATCGTCCAGATTGGCAAATTTTGTTCTGGATATCATGACCTTAACATATTCCATAGATTTTCTATTGGATTTAGGTCAGGGCTTTGAGCCGGCCACTCCAGATCTTCGATGGATTCGTCCTTCAACCACTTTTTAAGGACGCAGGATATGTGCTTTGTTTCGTTATCGTGTTGAAATATCCATTTGACAGACATATTTTCAAATGTAAATGGTTCCATTTGATTTTTGAGAATATCAGCATACATGAAACGATCCATTATGCCATTGATTCGGTGAAGCGGACCCACACCATGCCAGGAAAATGCACCCCAACACATAATGCATCCGCCACCGTGCTTCACGGTCTTCCTTGTGTACCTGGGTTTAAGAGCTTGGCCTTCTGGACGACAAACAAATGTTTTGCCATCGGGTCCTACTTTATTTATATTAGTTTCATCGCTCCATAGCACATTTCTCCAATAATTCAGACTCTTTTCTCGGAGGGTCCGTGCGAAACTCAATCTTTGTTTAATGTTTCGTTTTGACAGGAGGGGCTTCTTCCTGCTGATGCGTCCAAAGAGCGATGCTTCGTTCAGTCTTCTAGCCACTAGTCTCCTTGACACATCCGTACCACATTCATCATTAATTTCCGTCATAATCTCTCGAGAGGATTTAAAAGGGTCCGCTTTGCTCTTCCGCACTACATATGAGCCTATCCGTCATAGAATCCGTTTTTTCTTGGCTTTTTCTTACGATTTTTTGTATCATTCAAATAAGTTGGGCTTAACTTCACTAATTTAAGTGCGTTGTACACCATCTTTCTGGAGCATTTCATTATTTCGGCTATTTCAGACGGTTTTTTTCCAGATTCACTTAGTGTGAATATAATCTTCCTTTTTTCAACTGAGCAATGCCTTCCTCGACCCATTTTAGCACGATTTCGATTAATTATATCAATTCGTTACCGAAATATTGAAAATCAAACAAAGAATTCTGCGAAAACAACTTTTTACTCGAAATTAGCTGCCGCTTCATCAAAATGTTATATTTCTGTGACTATGCAAAAAAAGTGCACGCGAACGAAAATTAAGCATAAAGCAAAAGAGAAAAATGATAACGATAAATTGTTTGCCTGTATACCATGTGGAAGAATGCCCTGCCCTAATCGTTTGTGATCAAAATTTTTAAAATCGTATGTAAAATTTGGATAAATGATCGATCGATATATTCTGTTTTGGTTTGTGCTATTTATATGACCACAGCTGTATATTAGGCTGGGCCAAAAAACTTGTTTTCGAAATTCAAACGGGACACCCCCCTATTAGTTTACGGGGTTTAAAATTTTTTAACGAATTATGGTTTTTTTTAATGGTGTAGTTTTTTTTTAAAGAATTTTTTAAAATCTGGTATTTTTTTTCAGAGGTAGTGCTTTTTTATTTTTCACATAACTTAAGTATCTATATCTGGTTGCGTAGAACTTAGCAATTCTGAAAAGCTGGCAAATGCAGCTATAAATACTACCCAGACATTTTGTATCTGCAGCTAAAAGATAAAAAGATAAAAAAAACATAAAAAAATTAGTAAAGTACTAAAAAAAAATGTTAAATCCCGTAATTTATCAGAAAAAGTCATTTTGGTTAACAGCCTAAATAAAAAGTTCAATTTTGTCGAGTAGTGTAATTGGTGAAATCTATTGCATATATATTGATACCATTCATATCGTCATTAATCAGTTATTGGCATTAAAAAACCTGCTCAAGTTTTTGAGAATAAGCTAACTAAATATATCAACCTCAGCTGAACTTCTTGATTTTCACCAATCGTTAATTTTTTAATAGTACCTAAACAAAAACGAGAAGGAACGTGTGAGTCGTTTCTGGGGACACGACTCTACTTATACCCGTACTCAGTCAGTATATACATTTTTAAGCTTATAACTTTTTAGAATTTAGAAAAAAAAAAATTTTACATTTACATTTTTTTGCTACATCTGATATCTACATCTACATATACAATGTATATTATACATCTAACATGTAGATTGTACATGTTCCATTTAGATTCTACATCTCCTCCGCTAGGGGTTGCTCGCGCACTGAACGCGGCAGAGTGTGCGAGCGAGAAGGAAAAGTTGCGTTGTCGTTTGCGGGAGGGGGCAGGGGAAGCAACTGAAAATTAATTTCTTTATTCTGGCTATAATTATGATCCGATCTGATTCAGATTCGGCAATCTGGTAGATATGGTCATTTTCTACGATACTGCGTTTTTAGTTTAATCGTATCTTTAAAATTGTGGCTTTTAACGTATTTTTTTAACGTATATTTTATATATTGAATTTGGTCAATTTTGTGCTTTATACCGTGAAAGTTACCCGTCGAACATATAATGCAAAATCATGCGCAATAGTAGAACGAATCGAAGAAGATAACGAAAATGTGCGTAAGGGCATGTCGCAATTGAATGAATCTCAATCACAAGAGGTTCAAAATGAACCAAATGAACAAAGAAAATTTGAACGGCTACGTGTGTGACGTAGACTACATCACTGACAATATCAGAGAAAATGACCGACAACTCCAACAAGTACATAGAACATTTACATCCGCTTCGTTCCTTCTTCTCGCATTCGTATACGAGCCAGATATTAAATATTCCGCAGAGCTGGCCGAACTACGTAATCCGCACCATGAATTAGATTAATGAGTTAATTAAATTTAAGTCTTTAATGAGATTCAAAATGCTGGATGTATTCAGTTGAATGGCGAAAACGAGGATTACCTCATGCACAAATTTTAATTTGGTCGACAAAATACGCCCTGAGGAAATAGATCGTGTAATTCCAGATCCGTCTACTGATCCACTACTGTTCGATATAATTACCACAAACATGATTCATGGCCTATGCGATAGTATGAATCGCTTATCGCCTTAAAAGGCGCATAAAAGATGCAAAATCTACAAAGCGTTTTCCAAAAGATTTTACAAATGAGACGATCACAATCGTCGGTGGATATTCAATATATTAAAGAAGAAATATTGATAATAAATTATAATGATAATAGTAATATTGGAAAATCATTCATGGTAAAAATCAACAACGTAGACATTAACATTGGCAATCGAAGGGTTGTACCATATTCTCCTCTGCTGAGCAAAATATTTAATGCTCACATTAATGTTGAGTCCTGCAGTTCATAATTTAATTTTAAAATACTGATGTTAATGCTTATTGAGTTAACGAAAATAATACGAGAATGAATGACATGTTAAAAATACAAAACAAATCGAGAAGGAACGTTATGAGTCGCTTCTGTGACTCTACTTTTATACCCGTACTCAGTCAGTATATAACTATGTGAGCTTGATTTAGGTAGAATTTTAAAATATTTTATCAGTTTAAATTTACATCTAAAATTAAGATTCTACATCTAAAATGCAGATTCTACATCTGCAGGCCGAGTGTGTGTGCGAGCGGGAAAGAGGGGGTGGGGTTGGCAACTGAATATTAATTTCTTCATTCTGGTAGTCATTTTCTACGGTACTGAGTGACTGTCACAGATTTTCGACTTTTGTGGGAGCGGGAAATTTTGAAATACAGTTGAAAAAGTGTCATATCAAATGAGTCTGGAAACAAAATTTTGTTGCTCTAGCTTATAGTATTTGAGAACTAGGCGACAAACACGACGGACGTCTACTTCAATGACAATATGACAAATATACCCTTTAACTCTTCAAGTACGGGTAGAAAAAGGTATCGAAGCTATTGAAAATAGCTTGAAAAGGATACTAAATTTAAAAAAAAATTCTTTGTTTTAGTTTCCGGCTATTTCTCGTAGAAATGGAAATGTTATAATTTAATGTAAATATGTAATACAATTAATTATATACAATTTAATGCAAATGAATCTTTATTTTTATTTTCAGAAATTCGACTCAGAAAGAAACTTTTGTCGACTTCATGGGTGCACAAATTAAAACTTTGTCTTTTTTGGCATACATTGTACGAATATTTCAGGTAATTTGAAATTTGTAATCCTTAATTCTACCTGATAATTAAAATTAATTATTTTAACTTTTAGGAAGTGGTTATAGCGAATTCGTTATCTGTAACCAACGGGATGCTCAACCTGATGGCCAATTGTCCCAAAGAAGCAGCACATCTTAGAAAAGAACTATTGATTGCCGCCCGCCATATATTTGCTACAGACTTGCGTCAGAGTAAGTTTTGAAATTAAATGTAACCTTGCACTCCATGAGTACTGGAACATTTCCGACCCCTTTGAGAATTTAAATATATATATAAATCATCACGTGTTACGGTGTTTATGGTTAAACTCCTCCCAAACGGCCCAAATGATTCTAATTTAATTTTTTATTTATATTCCGGCAGGATCCGGTTTTTACATACGCAAAAAATTTCCGATTTACTTTTGAAAACGGAAAGTTAGGCGCTCCCGCCCGTCTTTTTATACATCAAAACTAATCTTAATTGCAAAATGAAAAAAATATCAGTGCCATTACCAGTGCAATTGAGCTTGTGCGCTTTTTATACCCGTACTCAAAAAAGAGTTAAGGGGTATATTAGATTTGTGGTAAAAGTGGATATGTGTAACGCAGAGAAGGAAACGTTAGCGACCCCATAAAGTATATATATATATTCTTGATCAGTATCAATAGCCGATTCGATATAGCCATGTCTGTCTGTCCGTCTGTCTGTCTGTCTGTCCGTCTTGTTGAGCGCCTAGATCTCAGAGACTATAAGAGCTAGGGCAACCAAATTTGGTTTCCAGATTCATGTGATATCGCACTGCTACAAGTGTATTTTAAAATTTTGCACCGCCCCCACAAAGAACAAAAATCTGTGGCAGGCACATTTTTAAAGATACGATAAAACTAAAAGCGCAGTATCGTAGAGAATGCCCATATCTACCAGATTGCCGAATCTGAATCAGATCGGATCATAATTATAGCCAGAATGAAGTTGCTTCCTCCGCCTCCTCCAGCCAGAGACTCTACTCATTCTCTTTCTCTCTCGCACGCTCGGCCGCGTTCAGTGCGCGAACAACCCCTAGCGGAGGAGATGTAGAATATGAATGGTACATCTATAATCTACATCGTAGATGTAAAATATACATTGTAGATGTAGATAACAGATGTAGCAAAAAATGTAACATGTAAAAACATTTTTTTTTAATTCTAAAATTCTTAAAAATTATAAGCTCAAAAATGTATATACTGACTGAGTACGGGTATAAGTAGAGTCGCGTCCCCAGAAGCGACTCACACGTTCCATCTCGTTTTTCATGGTTTTTTTTTCAGAGGTAGGGCTTCTATTTTTCACATAACTTAAGTATCTTATATCTGGTTGCATAGCTTTGCAGTTAAAAAAATTCAAGATTTAAAAAAGTTCTTAAAGAATAAACTAAAACATAAAAAACCATAATTCGTTAAAAAATTTTAAACCCCGAAATCTATAATAAAAAGTAATTTTGGGCCATAGCCTAAATGCATCACCTGATGCCGTTCTCTGGCACGTACCAAAAACGTTTGTAATATTAAAACAAAATTGTTGTTTACCATTAACATTTTTGAAAGTATTAGAAAGTAACCTAATGAAATATTTAACAGAAAAAAATGTTGGCTGCCTTTGTAATGAAAAACAATTCAACAGCAATTTCAAGTGTAACTTAACAGTCACAGATTACACTACTCTACAAAATCGAACTTTTTTTTCTCGAGGAACCAAACCGACTTTTTTTGATAGATTTGGGGATTTAACATTTTTAAAGAATTATGTTTTTATTTTCTATGGCAGAACTTTTTTTTTTTTAATTTTTTAAGTCTGTTATTTTTTTAAAGCTTTTTTTTAGATGTAGCCACTCTTTTTTTGACATAACTTAAGTATCTTACATTTGGTTGTTATGAACTTTGCCATTCTGAAAAGCTAATTGCTGCATCTATACATTTGATCTAAACACTTTGTGATTTCAGCTTACCGTTTTGGAAATATAAAGCTTTCACAAGCTTCCCCACAAATTATATTGTCGTGTCTACCTAATCATAGTTCAATAAAACCAAAGTAGAAATACCAAAGATATAGGATTTCATTCCCTAACCCATTGCTCCGCGAGCTCTTTTGTTTTTGTAATTGCTATACACAGCTTGTGCTATGTACACAGCATACCGAAAGCCCAACACATGCAAACAACTTTATGTGTATGCGAAGCGTCCAGCAAAAACTTATTTTGTTTGTTCTCTGATTGGTGTTAACCCGACTTTTGTTATGATTTTGTTGTTGAATTTTCTTCGAGTTTGTACTGTTCCCTTATTGGTATTTGTGTTTTTGTTTGTGAGTATTGGTAAGTGCTGCGCCGTAAGCTGATTTTGGGCACCTCTTCCCTAACCCATAAAAAAATCAGTAATGTTGAGTCTTTTCAGTACATTTTAAGCATACAAACATTTTTATACCCGTACTCAAAAAAGAGTTAAGGGGTATATTAGATTTGTGGTAAAAGTGGATGTGTGTAACGCAGAGAAGGAAACGTTTCCGACCCCATAAAGTATATATATTCTTGATCAGCATCAATAGCCGAGTCGATATAGCCATGTCTGTATGTCCGTCTGTCTGTCTTGTTGAGCGCCTAGATCTCAGAGACTATAAGAGCTAGGGGAACCAAATTTTGTTTCCAGACTCATGTGATATCACACTGCTACAAGTGTATTTCAAAATTTCGCCCCGCCCCCTTCCGCCTCCACAAAGGACGAAAATCTGTGGCAGGCACATTTTTAAAGATACGATAAAACTAAAAACGCAGTGTCGTAGAGATGCCCATATCTAACAGACTGCCGAATCTGAATCAGATCGGATCATAATTATAGCCAGAATGAAGAAATTAATTTTCAGTTGCTTCCCCTTCCCCCTCCTGACGCATTCAAGCAAGTCATTTTCCTTCTCGCTCGCACACTCTGCCGCGTTCAGTGCGCGAGCAACCCCTAGCGGAGGAGATGTAGAATATGAATGGAACATGTACAATCTACATATTAGATGTATAATAGACATTTTATATGTAGATGTAGATACATATGTAGCAAAAAAATGTAAAATGTAAATTTTTTTTTTTCTAAAATTCTAAAAAATCATAAGCTCAAAAGTGTATGTATATACTGACTGAGTACGGGTATAAGTAGAGTCGTGTCCCCAGAAACGACTCACACGTTCCTTCTCGTTTTATTCGGTTTTATGTTACTAGAAGTTTTTAAACATAAAGGATACATTTTGTTTGCTATTGGTTGTTACTATTTTCAAAATAATTTAAGTTTCTTGGTTTCGTTTGTCGCCCAACATGTTCTGATTCCAACACCTTGATACCGTTGTTCCATTGATTTTAATTGTTGGTGAAATCTTACTGCGTGTTCATCACGGACGTCCCCTAGGATTGGCGGGAAAAAGTCTAAGTGGGAGTGCAGGAAATGAATTCAAATTTCATCTTTTTTTGCGGTATTTTTTCGGAAATTTTGAATTTAAAAACTCAGGAAAAGTCGAAACAAAATTATTCTTTGCATGCATTTTTAGTTTTAGATAGACGCATTAATTAGACGTCGTTTAAGGTATTGTGAAATTTTAATTTAAAAGCTTAATATCTTCCAGGCGTTAAGCTGCAGCTACAAAGTGTATGGGTGGGATTTATAGCTGCATTTGTCAGCTTTTCATTCATATAAAGATACTCAAGCTATGTGAAAAATAGAAGCACTACCTCTGAAGCTACCCTGAGCTCCAGGCTGCTTTTTCATTTCTAGATAAAATATTTAGAATTGTTTAATTTTTAAGCAGTTCATTTATTTGAGGACCATCAAATACTCCTTCTTTCACTTTCGCCAGCGACAGACGTGGAAATACAGTTCTTATGTATCTTATTGACTAACCTTCCTTATTCAGTGCTTTTAGAAAATTTTTATTAGTCCTAGCTTAATGTGCAATGGTGTTAAAATAACATATGAAAACTTCACGAGAGCAGCATTATGTTGTAGTTTTTCAAGTATTTTCCTTCCGTTTTGGCCAGAAATTTCTTGAGTAATACTCTAGCTCTACTATCCCATAGGCCCAGAAAGCAGAAGAGTTTTGTATAACCACCTTACAATCCCGTTAGCATGGCTACGACTTTTAAGTCACACGCCACTGGTGTTCTTTATATTTTATGTTTTAAAACAATTTTTTAATTTTTTCAAAGCATGGAAAGCCGCGCAGGTTGTCATGCTGCGTAAACCCTCTAAATCCCCGGACGACCTGGCCAATTACAGGCCAATCCGCCTGCTACATTCTTCGCAGATAATTGGAGAGCCCATCCGTAAGTCGAGCTATCCCTTATCACTAATTTGGGTTCAGGCTGAGGCATTGTACTCCGGAGCAGCTGCATAGGGTGGTGGAGCATACCCTGGATGGCTTCCACAGGAAGCAGTACGTCTTAGCAGCGTACCTGGACATCCAGAAAGCATTCGCCAGTGTTTGGCACGACGGATTACTTGGGAAGATAAAACCTCTGATAAACCCCCAGCTGTTCCTCATAATTGGAAGCTTTCTAAAGGACAGAACGTTTCAAGTCGCACAGAGCGGAGCAGTTTCCACGGTGAAGGTGATTGAAGCCGGAGTCCCGCATGGCAGCGTGCTAGACGCAACGCTGTACAGCCTTTTCACGCACGATATGCTTATAGCTAGCGTTGACCATACGTCCCAGCCAATCGATGTGAAACTTGACACTTTTGCCGACGACACAGCAGTACTGTCAAGGGCCAACTGCGTTTAGGACGCCACGGACAACCTCCAGCGCTTTGAGAAGCCAACAAGATCCTCATATATAAGGTAATCCTGGTGCCTGCATGGAGGTATGGCACCGGTCTATGGTATCGCAGCAAAAACGAACCTGGACAGGACCAGGGAGTTACAGAACAAGACGCTTCGAAAGATCTCCGGTGCTGAATGGTATGTCGGGAACAGAGACATCGCCAACGATTTTGGACAGTTCCCTCAGTCGGTGACATTATTAACGAGCAAGCCACAAGATACCTGACTAAACTAAGGAGCAAAACCACGCGAGGGTTAAACCGCATCCATCCGTCCGACTTGGCCACCAGGAACATATAATATCCTGTTGCACAATCTGTGTTGTCGTCCGTTGGTCCCGCATTTAAATTAAAATACTAAAAAGTTTATAGAAATTGTC